GATTTTGAACAAATTCTGCTTCATATGAATACAAAAATAGGTCTGCTAATAACAGGGCGCAATTTGTGCCCATGGAAAATCCAATAAATTGTTGGAAGACCTGGTCTCCAAAAACCAGATATATATTGTCAATCAGAAACTCAGGCATCTTTTTAGTATCAACTTCAGAGTACTTGTGTGTACAATCAGAACGTTTTTTAATAAAATAATTTTGCAAATGACCAATGACAAGGTAAGTAAATTTGCGAGTTCCATTTTTATTGAAAAAGCAGCTGTCAATGATATAAAAAAGCCTAGACTTTAATTTATCGTGGGGAATGGTTGTATAAGTTTTTATGTTGTTGATTTTGGTAAAATTTTGTGATTTATTTTCCAAAAGTTCCTTGGACTTTTTAAGTATCCACATCTGATTTACACCACTTCTCGAATATATTGTTGCACAGTACTCCTGAAGTTTCTCATTCACTACTATAATATTTTAGTGAGCAGTAAAGAAAGAGGCTTGGTAGAACATTTACTGGAACCCGCTATGTATCTTTGTTTGTATGGATTTTTATGAAGTTTCGGAATCCAATATAGATATATTACGAATATTCTTTCTTCACGTTGTGTATTTAAACCAGTTGATCACTCGCAGCTCATGGATATTGTACTATCCAGGTTGTTTTCATCAGATTAATATGTATAGTAACATTTTAACACAAGCTATGTTTGTTATTAAATAATCGGTAAATAGTTGTAAAAGATGTTGATATATGCTGTCAATCGTATATTGTTGTTTTGGAGTCGGGTTCACTGTATTTCCACCACGTCAGCCAGCATTGGACTTAATGATAGATTGTATTTGCTGACAAGGTCATTGTATCGACCATAGAACCTGCGAAATGATGAACGTAAACTAGATTCTTGTTATCCCCGTTTCATCAGCTCACCTGTCAATATTCCGACTCGTTTCAGAAATTGTTCGCACCTGGATTTTTTAATATCTTAAATTTTTTTTCAAACAAATTTTACAACTGATGTTCAATTACATCAAACAGGGATCGATCTAAAAAATCCTATTAACAAGGGAAATTTGGGAACAGGGTATAAAACACAGATCCCTAAATTCAAGAGATTTGGTGGTGCATAAGAGTAAGCATCCTCTTGCATAGGGAATGATATACTAGTAATAATGTGTCATATCAATATGGAGACCAGAGGTCATCTAGATTACAAAATTATCCAAAACAGTAACCAGAGGACTCCAATGTGGAGTTTTGATTAGGTGATCTTTGATTTCTCTAATGATGTACAGTATAAGGTGACTTCTGGTCTCCGTATTCATATACAACATTTGGATATATATATATATATATATATATATATATATATATATATATATATATATATATATATATATATATATATATATATATATATATATATATATATATATATATATATTTACATCATTAGGAGACCATGGGTCACAAAGTTGCATATAAATACGAAGACCAGAGGTTACCCCATATTGTACATCATAAAAGAGCGCAGGGGTTAAATAAAGTTGTATATGAATGCGAAGACTAGAGATCATCTTATATTGTGCGTCATAAAGGAGATCAGAGGATACATAAAGTTGAATGCTTATTTTGAGACTATATTTCACTCTAAATTGTACATCTTTACTGATACCAGAGTTCACATTAAGTTGTATACGGAGACCAAATGTCATCATATATTGTACATCGTTTGGGAGACTAGAGGCTACCCTAAATTGTACATCAATAGGGAGACAAGAGGTTACTAGTACCTTATATTGTACATTATTAGGGAGACCATAGGTCACCGTATATTGTACATCATTAGGGGGGCCATAGGTCACCGAATATTATACATTATTAGGGAGACCAGTGATCACCGATTATTGTACATTATTAGGGAGACCAGAGGTCACCGAATATTGTACATCATTTGTGAAACCAGAGGTCAAATGCAGTTGCACAAAAAAGAGACCAGAGGTCACCTTATATTGTACATTACAAGGGAGACCAGAGATCACATAAAGTTGTACATATTATGCATCATCAGCGAGACCAAAGGTCACATAAAGCTATACATAAATTCGGAAACCAGAGGACACCCTATATTGTATATTATTAGGGGGATCAGAGGTCACATAAAATTCTATATAATGAGGAGTCCTGAAGTCACCTTATAATGTAGGTTATATAAAAATGGAGACAAGACCCACATATATTGTACATCATTAGGGGGACCAGAGGTCACATAAAGTTATACATGAATACGGAGACCAGAGGTCACCTTATATTGTACATTATTAGGGAGATTAGAAGTCACCTCATATTGTACATCATTATGGAGGCCAGAAGTCACATAAAGTTGCATGAAAATGCGGAGTACAGGGGTTATCTTATATTGTACATTATTAGGGAGACCAGAGGTCACCTTGTATAGTACATCATTAGGGAGACCAGAGGTCACCTTATGCTGTAGATCATTAGGGAGACCAAAAGGTCACCTAATGTTGTAGGGAGATAATACGTTAAAAAGTGTGATATATGAAGAATTGTTTTTCAAACACAGACTCTGATTTTAATGACAAGCAAAAACAAGAACGTACACATTTTCTCCATATTCACTAAATTTCTTTCGTCGGAATGGGGGTGTGTGTTTAGACAATTTGCTTGTGTCTTCATAAACATGTAAACGATTCTAAGAAGCAATTCTCAAGAGGTTCCTGTTTTCCCAGTCTATTTTTGGTAAGTCTATTTTTGGTTAGTTTTGTTTCCCCATTTACAGATATAGCAGGGGTGGTAATTCGAGTTCAGCATTTCCCTTCCATTAAATTTTCACACATCAAGTACAAGGGAACACCTGTTCTGTAATATCAATAAGGAGGACAGAGGAATAACTAGAGTGTTATATTGATAAGGTCGCCTATCGTGGTATGATATATTATTTGTGAGACCAGAGGTCACCTAGCCTAATTTATTACCAAAACATTATACCATTATCTAAAAGTGAAAAAATCGAAGGAGGGGATGATCTAATACCCCCCTTCGCAGTGAATCTGCGCATGCAGAGACAAAAGGTCACATACTCTGATATATTAATCTGTTAATCTTGTTAAACTGTTAAAACTTGTTAAGTCTGTTAAACTTGTCTCAAGTGAAGAAAAAACAAGGCAATAAAATCAGTAGATCTGATTAATCCACCTTTTCTCCAATAAATCACAAATAATTCATATATATACATGTATGGTATTTGCTTCTCAACCACAGATATCTGGATACAAACCGCGTCGTCTTCAAAGTCTCGTAGTATTTTTTTTTTTTTTTTGATTCCACTGTGACGTCATGGTTCGGAGTATTGAAACCCTCTGAGAAAAATTATTAATAACACTATGATAAAAAAAGAGAATACTTTTTATATTGATTTTAACTTAAAAATGTTTTTATAATGTTTATTAAGTTCTTAAAATTCATTTTTAGAGCTGAAATCATTCTTGAAATAGATATACAATATTACAGAAATATCTCTTTGTCTGAACGTTAAACAGCCAAGGGTGAAGAGTTATCGTTCTTTGCAGCAAATGGGTGTATAAAAAGTGTATGGAAATGATATCCCATTTTAAATGAAGAGCTTTGGTCAGCTGTTGCAGAGTCTGAGTGGCGGATATGCCTGTGCATTTTATCCTGAAAGTTTGAAACTTCAAAATAATAATAATAATAATAACAAACAATAGCTGGAAAAAGTTTGGGTCGGGTGCCTTTTCAGTGGGTCGGTAGGCAACTGCAAGCAATCATTTTTTTTATTTTAGGCCTAAAACCTTAAAAAAAATTAAACCAGTTATTAAAAGTTATTATGTACCATAATAATTCAATCCTTGGTGTAGTTGTTGACGATTTATCTGATTGATATTAAAGCTGTCAACACCTATTACTAGGTTTGTCTTTTTGGGATAGGAGTGCATGGTAATAATATACCTAGTCTTTGTTCTGAGAAAAAATTGTAGAGAATCCTGCGTGTGACATTTGAGGTCACTACCTTTATGGCTGCATCGATTTTCTTTCCTGTTTTATTAACAAATCCAAAATAACATTGCAAGAGATATGTATGTAAATACTGGGGGTTTTTTTATTTTCACTCCATGACTCCACATTACTCTACTCTACTCCATTCCACTCAGCTATTTATCCCAAGCCCACTGGTAGGCAACATCTGACAAACATGGATGCTAATGCAAAAAAATATTCATTGGGTTCTCCTCAAGAGCACATTGTGGTATGTAAATCCCATGAATTAGCTATGGATGTTATATGTGAGGACTGTGATGAAACAGATCATAGAGATCACGAATGGAACACTATGCTCACGGCAACCACCCAAAGGAGGAGAGGTCTACTTAAATTTCCGATGAAGGTTAAGGAGGAGGATCTGCTTGGAGTTGATGAGAAGATAGAGAAGGTGTCAAAACAGATCACAAAAAATAAAGAACTGTGTGATTCTGAGATAAAAAAGCTTCAGAAGCATTGTGAAGAGATAATGAACAGGCTAAAAGAAATCAAAAAAATGTTGTGAGGAATCATTGAGAGACAATTTGGTAAAAGAAAATGATCAACTGAACAATGTGAAATCTGAGTTAGAGAAGAAGAAGAGAGGAATAGTTGACACAGTGGAATTCATGGAGGAGAACAACAGCACCATGTCAGATTACAGCTTAGATTAATAACCACAAAGAACTGACAAAAATGCTGTCTGAATGGAAGGTTCATTCCACAAACTGTGAACATTCAGTGAGGTTCAATAGAGGTGACATCAATGATGTCTTACTTGAGTCTATGGTTGGAAGAACTTGGGATTTAGGTTATATTGATGTGACTAAAAAAAAATCATTTCAATATGGAGATAAATTAATATATGCTTTGGAGACATTCAGTGAAGATCAATGCTACATTTGTGAACATCAATCTAAATGTATAGAAAATGTAAACATGGAAGGTGCCAAAAAACACAGATTTAGTATCAGCTCTCCCATTAATGACATGTGTGTGACAGATACTGGTGATGTTTATTTCACTGACTATTTTAACAAGTCAATCAGCTGTCTGTCACCGTCACGATCTGTCTCTACAGTTAACAGTACAGATCCACTGGAACCATGGGGAATCTGTCAGTCAGTGGACGGTGGACTACTGGTCACCTTGAGTAGCAAGGAATCAGATCCTTTCAAATTACAGTTACACAGCAGACGTCTGGTGAGACACATCACAGTGACTTGTGATGTCATCCAGGAGTATGAGTACCAGGAGGACGATCAGACCAGACTGTTTACATATCCATACAGAATCACACAGAACGGTTACAGTGATATCTGTCTTGTGAATAGTACTAGTCTCACTACAGGTGATCTAGTAATTATGTCTCCCTCTGTTCTAATGAAGTTTGTGTACCTTGGACAGAATCTGACAAAGAAATTTAGTCCAACCGATGTAGTGTGTGACTCCCTCTGTAACTTCCTTGTTACTGATCTATTGAACAAACAGATCCATCTCCTGAGTCCTGAGGGGAGTTCTTGAAGCTCTTACTGACAGAAAATGAACCTACCATTCTCTCTGTCCCTGTTTAAGTCAACGCTGTGGGTAGGATACTTGGAAGGACTTGTCAAAGTGTATAAATACAGAGTGTAGAATGTAATAATAGCAAAAATATTAATTTGAATCATTAATATGACATCACAATAGTATTATAAAATTATAGTCTTCATCAAAACTCACTTAAATTTAGTTTAATAGATAATTTATATACAAAGTTTTCATATTTTGTTATCAATCAAAATTTAAAATTTACAGATTTATTAAATGTGCATGCGTTAAAATGAAATATGTTTTATATTTAAATGTAATGTCTGATTTCTTAATGGATATATTAATCACTGTAATCACATGCAATTTACAGTTGTAGTTTTCTTCAAATAAACACCAAAGAGCAAGTACAATATTTTTTAAATATCTGCTGATAAGAATATTTAAAAAATTGTATTTGTAGGTTACATGATAACAAAACAAATTAGAGTCAAAAACTTCACAAAAAATTATCATTATCAACGTTTATAATGTAGAGGATTTAGGCATCCCAGCACACATGGATTTTGTTCAAAGTGTGGAGGATGAAATGCACCATCGTTTCAAATGCACTAAAATCAAAGATGAACAAACAATTTTCTTAAAATCTATCTCAGAACTATGTACTAATTTCTCTAATTTTGATTTAAATGAAAAGCAATTTGGCTATTTTTAAATGAAAATGAGTCAATCTGAAGAATACTAGTCAATTTACATCAAAACACTGTATATGACTTTTTAAACAATACTGTATTTAGCTATAACATTTTTAAAAATATAATTGTGCTCATTTTGCTTATCTACATTAGACATGAGGAGGAATGCAACCTTCTAACCGTGTTATATATTAAACTAGAATTATGCATTTCCTAGACCACTGTCCCTTGATGTCTTCTGTAGACTGACAACCATTGATACATCCTCATTTCATAATTTATTTATACTTCAACATGATAACAGAATATTTTAACTTCATCTGTTAATTAATTTTTTCTCAATTTTATTGTTACATGCATTATTGAATTGCTGATCTACATTACATCTACATGAGAAATTCTATTAAGACAGTTGGATTCCTGAGACTTGTATATACTTAAGTACTGTCCCTTGATATCTTTTGCTGATTAGGAACTCAATTGTAATGTCATATATACCTTACTTCTTGTTTTGCATGACCCAATACCTAAGTTTTTTATATTTTGTATTGCTGTATATGTTAATGTGTTTTCTTATCCTCTTGAATGTTAACAAATCATGCTTACTGGTATCAATGTTATGCTCCCAGTGGGACCATGATTGGCAAATAAAATATATTCTATTCTATTCTTATTGCATGTATCTAAGGAAAGTTTTAAGCACTTCCTGCATATATGTATTTGATATCTGTCCGGGAGGGTGCAGTTTGAACAAGCTTAGATCAGCAATACAGTTCTTCATGACAAGTATTTTCTTGTACAGCATGCATATCTCGTATTGCTACCACTTATTTGTCCATTTAATCCAAGTAGTTTGAACAAGCTTAGATCAGCAACACATTTACACATATTAAATACAACTCTTTTTAGCTCTCTTATCACTGACAATCTTTTAAATTCTATTTCAATTTCTACATAAAACCAGAAGCTTTAATGAGAATTTCTGTTTTTGGGATTATGGTTTGAAGAAAGGGAAAATTTTCATAGAATTTTACTTGATTATTTTTCAATTTCTGTTTAGGATTTTTGTTGTCTATGTCCATGTAAAACTGAAGGTCAAATTATGCAAAAATTTATGGCCAACTTACACTGATGGAAAATATGCGCATATGTAACCTTGTGAAATCAAGTGTCGACTAGAAATGTAATTCAAATTTTCACATCTCATCCAAGAAATTGCCTTGGCATGCTTTGATTCCATTAAAAATCATGAAAATATAAACACTTATATATTCATATCACTCCTTTAATAGAACGTTGGATTAATTACGATCAAATTGAATGACAAGATGCATGTACTTTATAAACTTTGATTTTGAAATAATGAAAAACATACTCAATATGATTTACTGTCAAAATACCATTGCATCTTCCATAAAGATAATGAAATAAAAAAGAAAGTCATATCAATTTTCTGCATATGTATATTCTATGTAAGGCTTTTAAAGTCTCTAACAATTTTAAAACGATGGTGAAATATATAACATACAAAAATCAAAGCATACAGAAAATAATCAAAAATAATTTTTTGATATTATAAAAAATATAGTTACATATATATTGTTAGTCTCATAGCTTAAAGATCTGAAATCACTATCATGATTTTCCATCTCAAAGCTCGATCTATTTCTTTACAATTAATCCTCCAATAATTTTTTTAAATTTCAAAGAATCTTTGTTTCACTTTACTATTCTGTACGTTGTTATTTATTTACATGTATTTATTCCTTATTTTTCCTCCGTCACATTGTTACTTTCACTTTCCAAGCAGCTGATCTAATTACTATCAATTTCACTGTCTCCTTTCTTCACGTCAATGCTGAACTTGTATTCCTGGTCACATCCCATGTAGGCGTCACTCATAAAGATGATGGTGTAGTTATAGTGACCAAGAGAAGGGGTCACAAAGTCCAGTTTGACCTTGGCCTTCTGCTGCAAGGTCAATCTTCTGATGGACAGGAGTGAGTTAGATTTGTTGTCTCCAATCACTATCCACCAACCCACCTCGCATTTCTGATCGAAGAGAACAAATATCAGGTTTAACATATTTTTAATTCATACTTTAATTTTTTCAAATATTATTATATGGTGAATAATTATTCCTTCTCACCAGGTTATCGGAACAATATCTATCAGCAGTTTTTTACAACAACAAAATATGAAAATGAAACATATTTAAAAACATATGATTATACATATAGTAAAAAAAGAGTAATTTATTTCTTTCCTACTTCACCCCCCCTGAGGAAAGAATAATGCCACCACTGGTCCCACTGATTCATCTTCTTTCTCTGGGGACACAATACATTGACCGGGGAGCCAATGAAAACAGATTAGATACTGGTTTATCAACACATCAATTTCCCTAGACATGCATGCTTGTGTAAAACAGGATAAAATGTTTAAATTTTTATACCTTTGTATGTGTTTATGTCATAGTTGTTACCATATATAGTAGGTTGTACACAAGTGTACAAAATTCATGATTGAGTGTTTACTGTTTATGTTCCCTAGCACTTTATTCATGTTTACTTTTCTCTCACTCTCTGAAGACCCCAACATACAGTTTAACACAGTTCCCTCCCCTTACATGTGAAGACTTTCAGCTGTAGGAGTTCATTTCTATCATCGTCCTCCATCTCCATTACGTTAAAGATGCTCTCTATTGTCTACAAAAGAAAAAACCAGCACTCTTGATTAATGGTAAAATAAACTGGAATATACAGATTTTCCTCTCTTGCCTTCAAACTAAGTGTAGTTGGAAATTTATTAAAAATATTTTCCTTTTTCGAATCACTTTTATAATGTTCAAAATTACAATTTGTAGTGTACTAGGGAACATAAAAGAGGGGTGCAGGAGATCTAGTCTTCACAGAATTCTTACCTATTCCTGATATTTCTTGAAGAAACACGGCTTGAAAGCTTAAAATGAATTCTAAGTAGGAATGAAATATGGAGATATCAAACAGTAATCAAACTCAAAAGTCCATTGAAACAATACAAATCAGAGTTCAGTTTATAAAAGTCAAGAGACATACGTAAACAATATTGACAATCATATATTTTAGAACATATATTGATGAAATTAACATCCAACATATGCAATATATGACATTTTCAGTAATTTATAAATTAGTTAAAGACAATGTGCTCTTTGCACTCGCTAATTGCAAAAAAATTCTTAGATAACATAATTCTTTCACATTCTGTATACTAAGTAATTGTACCAATTTGAAGACACTTTGTCTTATTTTCTTAAGTCTCCTCGCAGCACAGTTAAGGCTACAATGAGGAGGCGGGGCCTAATTTATGCGGGAAATGCTTACTATGACATCACACAAAAATATAAGTTCTTTAAATTACCACAAAATGAAATGATTTGCTATTTTAAACTGTTGGATAGCTTCAAACTACATCAATATATACTAACTATTGCATGCCTTTTTGTCGTTGGTTAAATCCCACACAGCAATATATAAACAATTCACTGATCGCAATGCACTTGTCAATGTGACGTCATATCGTAAAATTTGACGCAGTTTGTATGCAGTAAGAGGCGGATCGAGTTATATTTTATACAATAAAAAATGTATTTTGTAATTAAATAAAATATCATTTGCAGATATATATGAGACCATTAACTTGAATGCGATGTCTATTTAATGATTTTATTCATATACTTACCGTATGAACATTCCCTAGACAAGCGATACGACAGTAAATTTGTATGCAGATTCATTTAAGGGTAATAAAAGGGTCGTAATAAATCGATATATTGCAAGGGCATGCCCTCAATGAATCATGAAATTCTTTTACACATAAACTCAAGAAGTATGAAGATATTTGAAAAGTGCTGCGAACCTAATGAAATCTTGCAAATGAATTAATTAAATCTATATTTAATGTACTTGACAAGCAAAATATTCATATAACAAATGTAATTTTAACAATAAGATAGTAAAATCTATATAGGTTCACAGCACTTTTCACAAACTACAAGAAGTGTAGAAAATAATTATAAATTAAACTTAGATTTTTACCTTGGTTATGCTCTTGCAATATTGGAATTTATAGATGACCTCAATACTTCAGGTATATTTGCTATAATCACGTGACAAGTCTAAATAAGAAATCTAATCATCCCCAACATGTAGTTTTCAACCACATTGCATTTGTCGGATAATAGTAAAGTCATAAAAAGAATCGATCATCCTTGCAAAGAATGTGTTTTCTATCTAAGAACCGATATTTCCATTTGGT